GGTTCCGTATTAGCCTGTATTCCTCGTAGCCTGCATTCGTAGCACGGTAGCGCTTCCACACACGATTTCTCCTGCGGAGTATACTTCTAAGCTCCCTATCGAACCAGGGTGGTCCCATGGCATGAGGTCGGCTCCTGCGTACGGGGGCGAATTGTTGCAGTAGCTGTAGTAGGCAGTCTCGGANTCGGATGACACACCACGACTGTTCCACGTCTTCTTTGTCAATCGGCTCCCAGTTTAACAACTGCGCTGCTGCACGCATGTCATCGAACTGTATCCGCCAGACATTCCGACCCTCTAAGCAAGTGATCACGAAATCCCTACAGCGAATAAATCAATCTTCCTTGATTGATTGCTTTCTGCATGTCGTTGCAAACATCATAAGCGAAAAATAGCTGTCCTATCACATACGTACTATCAGCCACAACCACAACAATCAATGAAACCATTACTAAGGTTGGGTCGCAACTCATCAACACTCTGAAGTCAATCTATACATTACTCTTCCGGTGGTCTCATCCTATTGGTCCACTGTTGCATTGATGGTGACATTATAGCATAATGATCTTCATTCATATTTTGTGTCTGACAGTCACGTATTGGTGCACATGAGGCAAAAAAGTTCATACTCTGTTTATTGTGCTTTTTCTCCGGGTTTTCTGGGGAGTGGAGATAAACTGTAAAATTTCACATATCTCATTTCCAATGGCTCTTTTATTCTAAATGAACAGAATAGTTAGTATCTAAAGTACTCCTAATTCAATCTGTGCGTAATTTCAGTGAAATCACACAGACTTCGTATGACAAAAATTCCCATATTCACCGTTTCAGAACACCAAAGGTGATCAAGCACGAAGTGTTAGTTGGACTGGCTCAGCAAGCTATGAGGAAAGCGGCATTTGAGGACTTTCCGAGTATGCTTCAATCGTGTCGCCAGATAGACGGGGATCGGACTGGCGAAATTGACCGTGAATTGTTGCGCCGAATTTGTCTGTCATACCACCTCCCGATTCCTGATGACATGCTAAACGCTATTATGCAATAGTAAGTCTGATTGAACCCGCATATTTTGAGCAGAAAACGCGGGGCTTTCTTTTTACTCTAACTCGAAGTTGTTGTTGCCTTCCTATTGAAATTTGATTATTATAAGTGTGAAAGTTTATGAGCGCATGGCTGGTGCAGATCTCTGAGGAAAGAGGACCGTAGTAGATCGATCATCTTGAAATCCAGTCAGACCCGTTAGTTTGCTGGCTTCTACAGGCCTTCTTCATTTCCGCCGGATTGGGCTTTTGATTAAGAAAAAGTAAAAACGAACACAAACTTGGTCTCACAGTACAGAACAATACGAGATTTACATCACCATTTACTTCGTCTTAGTTTCCATTGTGTACAGAATTGGCAGCCTGCCTAATTCAGACCAGTAGTATGCATGCATATGGTACGAATACCACCATAGGATGTGCACTGCCTTCTCTGATGAAAACAGTCGAATAAAGTATATCATGTTTTTTAACCTCGAAATTTACCAGCTCTGTAACACGGTTTCAAATACAATGTCAATAAAAACA